TATGGTTCATGGGGTCACGAAGAGTCGGACACGACTTAACGACTAAACAACAACAAAGAAATTTGTAAAGGCAGAAGTAAAAAAATATGTCCTTGTAACTTTTAGAATCCATCTTCCAATTAAGCATTCCAACCTAGTGAAAAGAGCTCCACAAGATACAACACTGTGTTTAGAATAGTTAGTAAATGGCTTAACACACCCAAGCAATTTGCCACTCACCCTTTCTTGACTGTGTGAGTGCTGAATGGCAAATGCCTACCACCCACCCTTCAGCAATTTCTCAGGCAGCTACCTTCATACTGTCTTTCTCAAGCTGTGGAAATACAGTGGAGTGCTACAGTTATACTGTGTGCATCTCTTTCTCCCCTGAAGCAAGAGAGAGCAATTTCATTTGTGCATAAGAAATTGTCATTTAGCATTATAAGAACAAACTAGGCAAACCTGTTTCAGTTTAATCCACTTGGGAAGATTCTGCTTTCACTTCTTACTAAATGCAATTTAGTGTTGCATCCAAATTCAGAGAATTTGTTAGTCTTAACTACAGTTATTGAAAGGAAGCTAACTTCAAATCTTAACCTGAGTTATACTGAAAACCAAAAATTACAATTAACCACCTTTTAACTTTCATGCATAATGACAAGAAAGAAAGCAAAAACTTCCAATTTCTTTGTGGCTTCACTAGTGAAACAGTGAATACACACATTTACACTCACCAAGTTTTGTCTGGTAAAACTAAACTACAGTCATTTACATGCATAAGCAACAGGCAAAGAGGGAGAGAAGGGAAAAGCAAATGTATGACTGTACACTCTGTTGCCAAGTGGCCCATCTTCTAACAAAGTTAATTCAAACTTTCAAGCTAATTGGTGATACCATGTTTGTAACAAGAGGAAATTTATCCTTAAAAAATATCACTCTCATGGCTTTTGCTACAGAACGACAGCTTTGTAACATATGATAATATGGATATGGCTACCAGATTTGGGCTGCAAAAATCCAGACATCCACTACATGACAGCAAAGAGAGTGTCCAAATTTCATTGCTGTTATCTAACAGTCATGTGGATTCTTGCAGCTCAGATAGCCCTAATTTTGACCTATTATCTTCATATGGTTGCATTTTAAAGACATGAGGCTCCAATGCCCATGTTTCTATGCAGACTGCTACAGTGTAAACAAATGACGAATAAGAAACCAAAATTGCAATCCTGCAAGCATTTCTAAATTTGAGCAAGGTAAAAAATGGGATTCCTCAAATGTACATCTTTTTTACTTTACCCTGGCACTGCATAAAGATTATTTAGCCTACTGACAAGTTTATAAAATTGGACAATGAGACACAGAAAACAGATGAGAAAATTTTCTCTCCTTTGTAACATTAGAACTTATAAGCATTCAAATTAATTAAGCTGATTGGCAGGATATTGAGGACAGGCAAAAAAGAAAAAAAATACACATATCACATATTTCATTGCTATAAAATTTAGCAGTAGTCATTAATTTTTAAAGACAATTAGATAAATTCATAAAGTATGTCAGTAGCTATTAATCATTACAGCCATGTTAACTTCTATGTCAACAGGCAATATGCCAGTGAATATCTATTTGTAGAGAACAGCAAAGGAAAAATCTAGTTCTCTTTATGCCATTCATGTGGGCTTTCCAAAGCATTTTAGGATTGAGGATGTTGATCTTTGTTAATAATATAAGAATAGTCTTCATGGATGACCAAAGAGTAAGCTGCAATGAATTAAACGCAGATTTATTCCATATAAGCATTCATAAAATTATGACAGCCAGTGTTGTGAAGTGGCTAAGGTGTTAGACTAGCACCTAGTTCTAGTCTGCCCTTAGCCACAGCAGCTCACTAAGTGACTTTGGACCGGTCGCTCTCTCTCAGTCCATTCTACCTCACTGGGTTGTTGTGGGAAAAAAAATTGAGGAAGCAGAGCTATGTACTTTGCCTTCATCTTCTGAATAAAAAGGCAGAATATAAATCTAGTTAATAATCAAATTATTATAATAATTAGGTTTAAATAATAATTTAAAATATTATTGTAACAATTAGGTTGTAAGATGCAAGATTCTTCCTTGCAGAATTGAGAACCTAATTCTGAATAATATGGGATTGACCAAGACTTACCAATAGTTTGGCATAAAGAGAAGCTACCCATAGTAGAGCACAGGGTTGAAAAGATACACAGTGACAAAAAGTTTATTATTCAGTAAATGCCTCTGCAGATCAGCTATTAATTTTAATAACTGAAAAAACCCAAATATCACTGTCTAACCAAAAGTCAGATACTTTTCTATTAAATTTATTTATTTATTTATTTATTTATTCATCGTATTTATATAGTCGCCATCTCACATACCTAATTTTAGAAGCTGGCCATAGGGCTATTACATTTTGGATGTAATATTTGTTAAAATATTAAATGTTAACTTAACCAGAGACAGTCATGAAAAGTTAAATTATATAATCTCATTGTAGGAATTATAGAACTTTTCCATTGCCAATATTTTCCAAGACATGTTATATGAGAGTCTTACAGAAGATATCTTTTTGGTTTATATAGAAATAAAATATAACCAGGTTGATTGTTATGTACAG